TTTTTTTTTTTTTTTTTTTTTTTTTTACGAGAATCAGATTTTCATTGCTTCATTCAATTGCTCTCCTCTGCCATTTTTTACAGCTCTTATCGTTCCCCTGGAATATGGCCTTGAGACAGCTCATCCGTGTCCTTCACTGTGTTATCTCTTCTAACTTTTATTAAAACTTCAGCTCTCATCTGAAGATAGCTAATTAAATCCATGACAGATTATACACTCGTTTAAAAACTGCACTGAACTACTTTTTCTAAAGAGAACAGGGTTTATTTTCTTTTCCCATAGTTAAAACTAAGGGTATATAAGGAGGTTTCATTCATTTACAAAGACAAGATCCTTATCTTTACCTACTATATAGATAGGTTCATATTAAAGTTCCTTTGTCGCGTGACAAGACTCAGTGCAATTTCTCACAGTAATTATTTCTTGTTGCTGGAAAGATCTCTTGGCCTTATGCTTTTGAAATATATGTACTAGCATATATGGGAATGCACATTTACACCATGGAAAAGCATTGCTCTAAAATATAAATGCAAGTACTGTAAATTTTCTTTTTTTAAATGTTGGTATGTCTTAACTGTAACAGTACTGTTTTGACAACATTGCAGAAAGTAAATTTTTCTTTTTCTCTACAAGCAACGACAAGTCCTTTAAATTATTTAATATCATTCTAAGCATCATTTTCTTACATAAATTAAAAATATACAAATTCTATCAAGGACTGGTCTTACTGTACTTCCACCCATCATCTCAAACTACCACTAGCTGGTCTGGAATGCAAATGGCTTTGTTATCATAAATAAATATTTGCAGTAATGGATATACTGCTCTGCAGCAAACATTATGCAGCTCCCCACTGCTGGCTTTCTGCCAGCATCTAGAACACAAACCTGTGCACAGAACCGCTTCAGAGTGGTGCTGAAAATCACAATACCCACCGAAAAAAAACCCCGAGCATCTTTCACAACAGTTAAAAAGAGATATAAAATATGCTCATGGAAAAACACCCTGCCCTCTAGAAAATACGATAAATAACCCACCTGAGCCTCTCTGTGATCCCTTCCTTCTCTTTAAGGCCTTTTGTAAGATATCCTTCATGGTGACCTTCATACTGTCCACCTGAATAAGTGAGAATCCATGAGCAGCATTTCTGCAAGACAGATGCACATGCATTTTTACAAAATAATCATCATCAGGCAGCTCACCGCAATTTTCAATAGTTTCAAGCAAAGAACTTTTCAGGCACAACAATTAACAAAGTTGTGCTATAAAAGTAAGTTAAAAGGAGAAACCGAGCAAACTCCCTTAGAAAGGCAGAGACAAAAATGGATTGAGATTCAAGGTGTGCAAGGCTCTTCCTAATTTATCTTTATTTGTGATCAATTTGTGTTCATCATTAAAAAAGAAAAATGAGCAGAGGTACCTGTGGAGCTCCTCAACTACTCATTACGAAGTACCTGCGAGGCGTTTCGCAGCGCACGCAGGAGGAACAGTTTGCAATGTCGTTTTCCTACACGGCCGACGGCAGACGGAACGAATCATTAAGGAGAAGTGGAAGAACAACACCCCGAGAAACAAGAGCAGCTTTTCGGCGCTCGTGATGTGCAGCGCTACCGCAGACGTCAGTAACGCGCTTTCCTTGGACACGTTTTTGAGAACACGGTGGCACAAAACCTGACGGGAAGGTTTATGGCAGCGGGACCCTGGTCCGGGCGCTGCCGCAGGGAGCCCACGCCCGGGGGGGTGACGGGAGGTGCCGCCAGCCCAGGATCGGAAGCGGCACTGCCGGGGACGCAGGGACGATGACAATATAATAGAAGAGATGCTGGATTCATCTATCAGTAAATTTTGCCCCTTAGACCCTGCAGTCAATCTCTGCTCATGTCAGTAGATGTCACTGCAGACAGTTAGCACAGAAATTTGAGAGCTGCTCGGGCACCCGCAGGGAGAGATTTGCACTGCCTGGAAAAAAACTGTTTTGCAAAGCTATTTAGACAGGAGGAGGAGCTTTGTATCTGGCAACTAGGAATTTTAATCAGGGAGTAGAGCTCTATAGGAGTATCACAGCTGGAATATTTTTAAAAGCCACTGGCAGTCAAAAGCAATCCAAGCAACACAATTACAGCGTTAAAAACAAGGCCGTATTACATGTCACTTCAAGACACGAACGCTGGGAATGGGAGTCTGAGCTCGGATCGCTTCAGACGTGGCACCCCCAGCCCGCGCCGTGACACGGCCCCGGTGAATAAATGACATTTTTGAGTCCTCTCTGCACATCAGCCCTTACCCCTGGCCGCTGTGCAGCCACGGCGGCCAGCAAAGCCCCTGCCTGGGCACGTGCTGGCCGCCAACCTGCTCGGGGCTAGGGGAAGAGCGAGCACGGGCTGTGCCCTCACCCCGCTCCCGGCAGAGCCACCCCAGCAGGGCTCAGCTCCAGCCCGGCTGCCGAGAGCGGCTGAACCGCCGGGAGGCTGCCACGGAATCCGAGCGGGCGGTCACTGGCGCCCTGCGAAAAAGGAAAATGCCCAGCGCGCTGGACCCAGCACCTCGATGGGGCTGTTGCCAGAGCATCCCCCGGAGCTCCCCCGGGCTCCTCGTCCCCCGTCAGTCCCACAGACCGCTGGCGTGCAAGGGCGTCCCCCCCTCATGGGTTGTGCGTTAGTCTCATCTGAATTTCATTCTCAATTCCCTTTGTTCCTGGCAAAATGAAACTGCCTAAAAGCCCCAAATTTATGTTCTCTGGACCATTTATTATTTATAACTCTATCTGACTCGTCTTCAAACCAAATATTTCCAACCTTTTCATGCATCTACTTTTTCTCTCTCTCTTTCTGCCACGGGTCTGGTGCAGCAGGCGCAGAGCTGAGCCCGGCTCCCCCGGGAGGGAGTGCCAGCCCCGCCTGGGGGGCAGGCGGCCGTGCCCGACAGCCCCAGTTCAGGGGCTCCAGTAACGCCACGCAGCGAGCAGAGACCTTCCGCAACTCCGACCCGGAGAGCAAATCTTCCCTCAAGCTGCCGCGGAGCCCCGCACCGTGCACGAGCACCAGGCAGCATCTTGCCTTTGCCCAGCAGGTTCGCGGTCGTTCACCCCGCTTCCCCCGGTCCTCACCGCTCCAGTCCCACGGGGCCTGCTGAGCTAAATCTGGCCTGTTCTTAGGAGTGGAAAACCTCGTAGACAATTATAACTACAAAAAGGACACTCACTGCCCTTCTGCTTCCACCGAAACGGCCCAGTGTTTGCCAGCGAAGCGCCCCCAGACAAGCCCTGCGCGCTGGACCCAGCCGTCAGGACATCGGTTCTGAAGACATCTGGTGCCTTCAGGTAACTCCTGTAGCGCTCGGCAATACAAAAGAAGGTTTCCAGAGAACTGCAACCAAAACGCAGGAAAACAAATCAAAACACCGCAGAGGAAAAACCCCAGCAAAGGTGAAGAAAATCTTCCAAACCCTTCCACGGCCACAACGGCTAGAGCCACGATTTTTTTTTTTTTCCTTTAGTACAAAGGTTTTTTCCAAGCGGGTTTCCCCGGAGGCGGGGCGGGTCAGGGCCCGCAGCCTGCCACGGGGCCGCTCGCGCCGACACGCACCCGCCCGAAACGGGGGGCTCTCTTTCCATCCCTGACGCTTCAGCTGCTAAGGGGCACACGCTGCTGGTGATCCCGCTCGTGCTTCAGCCATCCCGGCCCCGTCAATCCTTTCTGTTGAGCAGCTGGCCTGAGAACCGTCAGCCTAATTTCCCTGACACTCTATTACTAACTCATGCCCAAGCCACGGCCATTCTTTGCCTCAGAAGCTGGATCTCATCCCAGAACAATCTTTAAAAGTTTATTTTACTGATCAAAGCAAAATAAGAAAAACCTCTGTGTTTTACTATATTTAGTGTGCTATCCAGCAAGCGGGACCTTGGCAAGCGCAGCGAAACGTCAAACGCTCCCCGCATTTGTAAACTTTTGGCTATTTGCTCTGGAACAGAGCCAGCGGGTCTGAAACACCCGTCCCGGTCCAGCCACACGATCCCGCCCGTCCCTCGCCCCGGCTCACGAGCACGCAGCGCTGGTTTTCTCCAACACCACAGCGCAGAGCCCCAGCGACGACATTTCAGCACTCAGACATTTTAACACCCACGGATCTGAGCCGGGAGCGGATCTAAGCCCAGAGCCAAGCGATCCTGCCGTCGCGCCGGGGCCCGGCCGGCGTGTCCGAGCGCCTTTCCTGCGCCGCGGAGGAGAAGCCCCGTGCCGTCCAGCGGGCAGGGAGCCTTGGAGCACCCAAAACCTCATCAATCTACCGCAACCCGCCTGGACGGGAAAACAGCAGAGAGGCTCTTCGGGAAGAAATACACCCCCCGCCTCACCCTGCCAGCTCCCCGGCTATGCTCTGCATCGATAATGTGCATGGACCGTCCTCGCTCAACCTAATTCCAGCACAGCCTTAATTACGATTATAAATTACGTGGTTTAGCTTACTCTGCTAACGTGCGATACCTTTATTTTAAGTCAACACACTAGAAAACGGGACAGACAAGCAGATGCTATTCAATCAATTAAAACTGCTGCTTACAAATTGGGAGCCAAAGAAATTCCTTAGCTTGTATTTTCTGTCATTTTGCAAAAACATACCTGGGTGACAAGGTTAAATCAAGCAAAGGAAATCCCTGGCACTTATCATCCACAGGCATTACTGATAAATTGTGCAGTGGAGGAATAAAGGATTACCTTCTGTATTTTTTCATTACACTTTTCTTTTGTTACAGAATACATAAATCCATTGTGGCACAATGTAATATGTATCATCGTGCTACACCTGTGGACGTTTCATAACGGCTGCCATGTCTGTGCAGTCAGGAATGATAAGTGAACCACCCGTGAATGTTAATGATAGTGATCATTCTGCGGTAACTTGGCTTTCCATCTTCTTTTACAGCCTCAGCGCTGGAGCCAGGGTGGCAAGGTTCAGAAGAGGAAAAAGAAAACAACACAAGAGGCAAGAGCTTCGGCGGACTGACGCCGGGGTGTTGCCATGGAAACAGGCAGCTCCTCTCCACGGGCTCCCTTTGTGCAGCAAAATAAAACCCCGACACTTAAAGGACAAAAGGCTTCTGTTCCGAATGAGAAACAAAGTTTTCCAAAAGCTGCCTTTCCAATCTGGAGCTTTTTAAAATTTATTTTATTTTTAATATTTTTTTTTTTTAACACTGAAGTGGAATTTATAGCACTTAAAGCTCGCTGCAAAAAAATGGTTGGCATGGTTGAAAGTGTCTGCGATGACTAATAACGATTTCCACTCGATCAGCACAAAGTCAAAGTTAAGGCTAAAACCCCCAGTTGACGCAATGTGCTTAAGCTGGGTGATGTTCAAGATGAAGCGCACAGGGATATGAACCAGAATAACTACGCCAGTCACAATTTTTATTCTGAGCCTACGTGATCTTGCTTTTGTGCATCTCAGGTTAGCTTCGGATAACTCTGCGTGCTCTCGAGTTTAATTGGCTGGATTCTGACACCGCTCTAAGCCACCGTCAGACATCCAACGAGTCACCTTCCTGCTGACTCTTTCCTTGGGGCCCCTCCCCTCCCTACTCGCCGTCGCGGGAGCCAACCTTCTTAACTTTGGCACCTACACTAACTTTCTTAAATTTGCATTTTACGCGTATTCTAAAAAACACTTTGTAGATTGCCTACACCCATGTGAAAACTGGTGACTGGCTTTTTGGGGAGTGCTCCTGTAATTGAAGTAAAAAACAGATTTCCAAGCTTTGCATTTAATTTTACATGTACAACAAAAGCCTGATATTTTAAAAATGTTTCAAGCCCTAATCTGTGAGGTAGAGCAGAGGTGCTGCTTTGAAAAATACATATATAATAGTCAAAGCAATTTAAACATAATATCAAAACAGAAGAAAAGTGCGACAGAGCAGAGGAACTGTATGCCAAATTTCATCTGTGTGCCAACTGGCAGCTGAGCTACAACTCCTAGAAACACCATTAGATCGAGTATGCCAAATTGTGATAATAAAATTTCCAAGGGAAAAGGCCCTAATGATAGCGCAGATTTATTTTAAGCTACCTCCGTTCAGAATCTTTCAGGTATTACTTCACCATCTCAAGAAGTCTGCATTTACATGAACGCAGTGCTTTGTTTGACTCCTCCTGACAAATCATACCCGACGTGGAAGGGGGCTGCTTGCGGACGCCGTGTTTGACATTGGACAAAGTACTGCTTTCCACAACAGACATTTTCCAAAAACATAACTCGCTAGACTAATGGGCAGTAAGAAGCCAGAATGACTGCCCTCCGTCTTCTCCTTGTGTAACTTTGCCAGAGTCCTTGGAACTTGCCAAATTCGGTCATGCCTGCTTAGCTTGCTCGACTGATTGTGCCAGAAAAGAAAATAAGACACAGATGTATTTGAGCTCTTTGAGATGCCAGTAAGGGAGACAGCTAATGGCTTCATTTCGACCCTCCCCTACCAGCTGGGCACAGGTGGGGGGATAATGAGGTCCCTCTCCCTAATCAAACTCAATTATTTACTACTCTATACAGCCACAAAGACATTCACATTCAGCTCAGAATATAAAATGCACTGTGGGCTACTTCCAACCACCGCCACTGGGTATTTATAACTAACTCAAGTGGCTAAGAGTTTGCCTTGGCAGGAGTTTAAGTGTATAAAGTTCTGCAAACTGTTTCTGCTCAAACATGTCCTGCTGAAACGGGGTCCCTGGCGAGGTTCCATAACTGTCAGCTCGGTAACTGCACAACATCTGAAAATATATCCAATATGCAGGATGGGTGAGCTCTGAAATAAAACACCATGCTTCATCATGAAGCTTCTCAGAGGCATCAACCTTTTTCAACAGTGATCCAATATTAATAAACATTACAAGTCACAAGCCTGACACAGCAGCAGCTGAAATACTTCAGCATGAGGAGGAAAAAAAGGGATGCAAAATAGAAAAACACAATTACATGCAGCAGTAGGATGACAGGGAAGGAAGAAGACGTAGAATTTACAACAAATCCCTACAAAAATAAGACAGCACACAATATTTAAACTCACAGAAGTAACAACCTTTTGATCGAGGGATGATCACGTAATTCTCTACTCTAGGGGACGCATTAAAAATTCCAATTTAAATCTAACTATTTACAAATAACTATTTATATGGGAAGAACCCACAGACACCTCAGAAAAGCACTACTTCTTATGACGCAGTTGTATTTCTAATCAGCAGGACCTCCCAGGTTAGAGGGAAGGTCCTCACATGAGCACAAATGCCGCTAAAGCCGAAGATTTCACGTTTCTCTGGCAGGATTTGCAGCTGGACCCCAGTCCTGCTACAAGCACCGGTCAGAGAAGGGCGGCCGGGCCAGGCCCCTGCCGAGGTCTCCGGGCTCCGCGCGGGAACTCTGGTTCCTCCTCCGACCTAAACCCAAAAGCTGAGAGCACACGTGTTCGCTGCCATCAAACACTAACCCCCAGTTACGTACTGAGCACGGGCAGTGGGGGCCTAGGTCCGAGCTGCTGAGAAAGAAAGGGGACTTTTTCCAATGAGAAATCATCGACAATTTAGAATCTTCTAATGGTAGAGCCTTCCTAACGGGTCTACCTGCAGTAAACACCCATGGTCCTTTCGGATTGCATGGAATTAGGATAGAATTTTCTAGGGATACCGAAAGTGCAGGATTATCCTGAAGATAAAACAATAAAATAAAATCATAAAAATAAAAAAGAATTCAAATTCATGGCAATAGCGCTGATTAGAAAAATGCATGCAGGTGAAAGAGATACTCCCTCTTTCAGATAACACATGCAGCATTCTTCAGTCAGGCGGAAGGAACGAAATGCTCTGCAGTTCCACAGGCGGAAAAGTCAGCTGCCTGGTTCAACCGTGTGACTGTGACCTGCACAACCCAACACCAGACCCCGCGGTGCGGCCGGCCCGGCCGCCCCATTTCCTCCTCGATCGAGTGACTGCATCCAGTTCGGCACAGCTGAACGTGTTTACCTTGAATAACTTATTTGTAAATACTGTTGACAGAATATTTTATTTTCCAATGACCCGACAGAGTGGAATAAAGCGAACGGGCCTTCGGGAAATACACGTGGGATCTCTGAGATTTTCTTTCAGCAGGACGCTTTAGAACGTCTCCAAGAAACACAGTACACAATAAAGAATATAAATACCTAATTAAATAGGTCAGAAATTATTTCAGATGTCTGATTATTCAAAACCAGAAGCAGCTGTAGGGTTATGAAATGTAAGTAACCCTTTATAGATTAAAAAAATGTCAAAAAACCAGGGAAACACTATTAGCATTTTCATTTCAAGGGATCCAAACGTGAAATATTTTTCCCAAGTAAGAAGTAGCTTATGCTACTTGTATTTTGTTACAGTAATTAAGGCCTTCTGATGGTTTAAAAGATTTTTCATTCACAGTTAAGGAAAAATAAAAGTGATCAAGCACAGCGCGTATCACTGAAACACTAATTCACCGAACACGACATAGGAAATTCTCCTTGAGCTGCAAACCAGAAGCTTCGTGTTTCAGTGCTGGGTGGGGTCTTGCTCTTCAAAATTCCTCTGGACTTTAAAGTGGCGCGTCCAGTCCTGTTCCCACCGCCCCGCTCATTTACTGCTCATTTCTCTCCTCAGTGCTGCACTGTCACTAACACACTATTTGTATTGCAACTATTTGTATTGAAAATTACTTGCTTTTCAGTCCTGCAGCCAGTCTTAAAATGCAAATTTACTCCTTTGTCTATCGGGTTTTGAAAGATTTTGAAGCCTCTCGTATGTGGAATACCCAAATGCCACGAGTATGCTTTTTCCCTGCTAAAATTGGACACATTTTCCTAAAATAAAAAGTTGCTACCAAGATCAGTTCTTAATACCTGTTGAAGATGGCTCTGGATATCCAACACGAATGACTTCAGAACGGTAACTCTCTGAAGCCATCATATACATTATTTAATTTATTATTCAGCCATATTTTTCATAAATAAGCAGTGTGGCTGGAGCAAAATGAAAACTATTGAGCTCAGGCTTTGTGTAAATTCCAAATATTTCCTCGCGGGAGCGCACCAGCTCAACGTTCCCCACAATTCCGCGCAGGAGGGTTTATTTTCTGCCCCCAGCGTCGGCTGCTGCAGCAGCCCTGAGCCCTGCGCCCGCGTCCCGACAGAATTCCGCTGGGTTTGGGTGAGGACCAGGGGAGCGGAACGGGGCCGGGCGGTGGCAGGGGCTCGCGGGGGCAGGCAGCGCCATACTCACATGCGAACAAAGAGCGACTGCTTGGCGGCCAGGCCGGGGGACGAGTACTTCTCAACCAGCGCCAGAGTGCTGAAGCCAAACTTGTGAATGGGCTCATTGGAATCCAAGGGTGGAAAATCCGTGTCAACCTCACCGTCATCCTCAGCAATATGGAGACAGTAGGCATTGACGTTGTCGCTGAAACACAGACAAACCAGGTTTATTCAGGAGGGGACCTACACAACGCCCGGGTTCAGCTGCTCAACCCCGGTCGCTAAACGCTGCAGAGAGCAAATCGGAGACGCCTGTTACAGCCCTAACACGCGTAAAGAGCCACTGGTGGCACGCGCGTACGTCCCAGCAAAGTCCCAGCGTATCTTGCTACCAACATCACGTGGTAACAGAAAAACCCCCAAACCTCAGAGCGAAGCAGCCGGTCTTCCTTCACCGTTAACTGAACCGCAGGCAAAATACCGGCAGGGATCAAACCACACCAAAATCTGTTTCATGACTTCATCAAGCTGGAAGTAATATTTCTCCACTTGGCGAAAATTTATTTATTTACATGACCATTACATTTTAGCATTAAAGACAACCAAGCAGTGTCTATTTTTTCACAGATCAAGCAACTGTGAAAAAGTTTACTGAATGTAGGCTTGAAAAGCAGAGAATGCTCTCAGGCAGACAAACAGCATAAAAAACTACAGGAAAAGTAAACAATTTGTTCAATGCAATAGCAATGATTAGTAGAAAACAAACCTTTTCTAAATATCTAAGAAGTCCAGTCACTAAGAGCAGTTTAAAAGTTAGTACAGACTTAAGAAGCAGAACTAACAAAGTTTTAGAGTGTGGAGAAAATATAAAAGAACAATTGAAGCCTCTTTCTTTCCATGTAGGAAAGCCCATAGGGAAATAACTATCTATAGATACCAAACAGGTATTAATCACATTTTCCTAATATTAAAATCTCTTTCAAATGTTCCTATTTAAATTTTTGACCTGAAGTAAGTATTCTTCCTCACTGTAAATCTGCCACAGCCACGAAGTACCACTTGGACGTTCACATGGCAGTGCGTCTCCAAACTCTGCAGTTTAAATTTGGAGTTTTAATTGCGTGATTGATGCTTAAATTAATTAATTGCAAAGTGTATGCTAATTGTTTAATTGGTCGCTTGATCTATATAGATCATTTTTTGAATTAAATGAGTTGATTTACAAAGTTTATTGATTGGATGTGACAATGAATTATTTCACTGACTACCTGATTTGCAATTTTCTCAATTAATTCACAAACCTTTGGATGCAACTGCGCTTTACGGAGAGTGCTTAGTCCAGGTGATCTATATGCACCTTGTCACGACTAAGACATTTATTATATAAAACAGGTAATAATGATGCATTACTACTGATGTAAGCTGTAAATCTGCCTACAAAAAGGTAATCCAGCAACATTTGTCACTATGAATTCTGAAAATTCTGCAATACTATTAAAGAAACTTTCACGAGTCTCTGGACTGTTGGGAAGAACTGGAACACCGCTGTAGAATTAATTTTGAACTTCTTCAAGGCACTTAAGTAACTTTCAGGGAAGCTGGTGCGAGGTAGCGCTGGGGAGAGACTTCAGAGCCCCAGGCTCTGACAGCCAGGGGCTGCCAGGCTCTTTGGGAACAAGCTAAACAGAAATAATATAGATCCAGCCGATCCTGCTTACGTAATGAGAAACGCCTGGCACGATTTTCGGGTCCTTATTCTATTTAGATTTACAGGAATACAGGCACCGGGCTCCGCACGCTCCTCCTGGGCCGTTTACAGGCACCGAGGAGTCACCCAGACCCCCAGCTGGGGCCGGGGCCTTACACTGCGGATTTTCCGCTGACAGAATTCCACTATCTGCAGCCTGGTGCGCACTTGAAGCTCTGTATAAATAAAGTTAACATTTTCATTTGGTACCTGATGCATTTGCATAATTCTCATTAAAGCTAGAGGATCCGACAGACTTGCAGGCAACAGAACACACTCAGCGCGGTCTCAAGTGCCAGGAAAAAGGTGGTGTGACAACTTATCCTCCACCAATTATACTGAGAATACACAATGTCTGTAAAATCCCAGAAATTAAAGGGGTTACAACTGTCTTCTAACATAGAGTGGGTTCCTGAACGTTAAAACGTGGATCGAGTCACAATCTGCTGAAAAAAACAAGTCCTATGGGTAAAACTGCTCTGGGTTTTGAACCTCCACCAGGATGAGCTCAAAGTCCTCATTTAGGCTTCAGATTACAAGGGTCAAACTCTTGAGAGTCCGAGTCTGCTACGGACAGAATGTAAAAGTTAAATACAACAATGCACAGATGTAAGAGCACCCTTAACTTCTATAGGAAGTTTACTTGAGTTTTGCATCTCACTATTAATTTATTCCTAGAATGGGATTTTGGTTTTTGTTTTTTTTTTTTTCAGGTGAAATCATTACAGCACGTCTGTCAGGGGTTGGCAGGAGGATGGTCCCCTGGTTATGACCAAAGTTCATATGTAAGAGGCCAGGAACAAGGTCGCTAACTCTGTCAGTGGTTCCTCGTATCAAGGCACTGAACAGAAACAAATACAATACAATGACACTCAAACAGGCAGCCTACCTGAATACAAAATGTTCTCAAAGCTGTCAGCTAGTGCTCACTCACTTCAGACTCTTACATCTACCTTTTAGGAAAAAGAATTAGGCAGTAATATATTCTTTTCCTAAAGAGAAGAGGGGTTGTTTCTCATAATTACAAAGTCTACAACCTCCTCATTATTCTCAAATATTTGTCATGCCGCATGCGCTGCGTATCAGATTTGAGGCACTCTATGTATTTCAGTGCAGTGTCACAGGGATCTTGATTTTTTCTTTTTATACTCTGACTAAATGAGGAACAAACAGCAAATGTAGATGTGCAACCTACACAAGCTCATTCCTTATTTGGAAATGATGGGAATTAGTTTACGGTTAAATCGATCCTTGCTACAGGACTGGCAGTCAGCAGTGCTCGAAAAACGTGATGGAGACGTGAGAAATAACTAAGCACTACACAAGAAAACAAACTTCTTGGAATCTTGAGGCTCTGCCCCTTCCTCTGTGCGTTTGTACCCAGATTCGCAGTTGCTGCTGTTAGACTGCTCTTGGGAACTCATGCCTTCATTATTTAATTATTTCTGTCCCGAGATCTGATTACATTAGACGGCCTCCTTGGCCACGATCCCTCTGACACACCATAACATCAGGCAGTGAAATTCCTTTCCTCCCACTGCTGACTTTTGCTGTGGGCAAGGATGTTTCATGGAACAGCTCTACTCACGGGCGCTGTTCCGTTTGAGGTGCGCTGTGCTCCTGAAAAATACACGTGTCCGAAGATTGACATTAGTGGTGTCTTAAAAGATAAACTAATCATATACAAAGGACACTCTTTTGATCTTGTATCATGAACAGAAATTAGTAACAGCAAACGAAATGGCACCATCTGCAAATAATTTTATATTTCTTCTCCAGTGTAAAAAAAATGAGAAATCAAACAGAAGTGTTTAACCTCGGACACATCTCATGTGTCTGTTGAGAAGGGCTAAGGGAAATCCTATATCCGAGGCAACAATAGCCACAAAACTGTTTTCAAGAGGGGCTGCTCCTGTGGGGCCCCGTGGCTACTGAACAGCACCAACTGCTCCTACGGAAGAGCAGTCCAAGCGGCCTCTCAGCACCTCCCGTTCCCCCTTCTGACCCTGCTACAACAGAAGAGACGGCTGCTGAGTCCTCAAACACCTCTGAAAAATGCTGAAAGAGCAAAATCCAGTACCAAAAAAAAAAAAATTAATCAAATATTCCAGGAAGAAAAGACCAGAAAATTGGCTCATATAGAAAAAACAAACTGTTAACCTTCTTCGCACCAGGAAAGTCGCCCGCTAGTATCTGTTACTAACAACTCTACAATAAACTATTTTAAGTTCTTATTTTATGTTCTATGACCCAGCAAAAGCTGAAGTATTTTACAGAACTGTTTTAAAACTAAAGTTGCTCAGATGAGTGGCTCTGAAGTACCTGTTTTATGTACCTTGTGTCATCTACCATGATGAAGTAACAGCTCTTACTAAACAACACCAGTTCTCCAGCACAGCAAATCCAATCCCTTATGTAGTCACAGAAACCTTAGGGGCAGGATCCTTTCACAAGGAAGATGTAAGCAATGATTACCAAAGATCCTGAAAAATCCATCGATTAACTGAAGCTGAAATTGGGGAGGACGAGACAGATGTTGCTCTTTACAGCAAAGAGTCAACGTGACTGAGGTCAAAGTCTCGTAGAAATTATAATGCGGCGTGACAGAGGTTTTTGAATTAAAGAATGCAATTTTATTCACAATTTCCAAGAAAACTGGTATTTATTTTGTTTTCAAGAGCCTCAATTGCCTATTTGGAGTGATATCTCCAGGATAACGTGGAAAGAAAAGCACCTTTAGCCCCTGTACCTGTCAAGTCTCAGAAAAGTAGAAATATTTAAAACGTGTATAATGAATTAAAGTCATTACATCAGCAAAACGACAGCAGAAAGCGAGTAAGTGGTAACGCTGAGGTTCTGTGGCAGGATTCTGACTCGTTTTCGGGCACAGCGACTGTGGCTCAAATCTGGTTTCAGGGCTTCGCGACCCCGCTGCCCGGTGCGGCGGCTCCTCTCCGCGGATCTCTCGGAGGAACCGGCACCGTGCAGACAGAACGAGTCACAGTCCGGGCACCTTCTCCCGGAACAAACAAGAGGGGGAGTTTACGGATGAGTCTGGATTTTATTTGACATCCTTGTGATCCTAGCTATTAAGAACACTACCAAAAAATAGATGGGACATAAGATAAAAAATGTCTCCGTGACACCAAAAGAGATAAGATTTATATTATTTTTGCACAGAGCGTTTTGAAATTATGATTCATTTACAGATCCATGGTTTCATATGCTTATCATTACACAGTACCCAGTAGTTTAATTGAAAGAGAAATGGATGTAGATGCACATGTACTGCTCAAAAGGAAATACTGATAAATGTGTAGGTGGTTTCTCTAAGATTTATCTATAAAAACATTGACATGGAAATCCATTTCATTATGCAAAAAGGCTGCAGAGGAGAAAATTAGAGATCAAGAGGTAGTAAAGAAAGAACATTACTTCAGTTTTGGTTCCCGTCCCTCACTTGTATATTGCCAGCATATTAGTCCAATCAGGTCATGCACCTTGGCATTTGCTATCGTCACAACTGTCATGGGCTGCAGTTTGTCTTGGCTTGTGTGCAGTGGGAGGTAGACATCAATTTTTTTGGTTGCCGTTGTACCAACATGACCCTGTCGAGAAAATATATTTCATTAGAATGTATGAAAAAAAGTATGACAGAGCTAATACAAAATGTGGTGCGGATGGAATATTTTTTAGTAGAAAGATTAAAACACGCTGCTACGACCTAAAACTGGAAGAGGCTTGAACATTTAAATTCCAATTCTTTCACTGCTGTGTAACGTATCTGTAAAGTTGATGTGAAATATTTGGCAACGATTTCACAGATTTCCATGAAGAGCCTGAACTTCACCGCAAGATCCTGTGTTCTTGCAGGATCCAAAAAAAAAGAAAAGAAACCAACCCAACCCAACCTTGGGATGGGGAGGAGTAGCTGACAAGCCTACCTAAAGCTTCAAACCCGTTTTTCCATCGGGATTTAATACCAGCACCGCCCTTGTTTCTACATTTCTGCCTCCTTCTGTGGTTCTTCCCCGCCACGGGGGGGAGGACAGCCCCAGGTGCTCCGCGAGCCGAGCCGCCTCCCGCGGCCGCACTGCCCAGCCCCTCTCCTCACCAGTTACTCCAGGCCTGGGACGCTCCAGGACTGCCCACGTTACCTGCTTTACAACGTCCTAGTTCCCCTCCAGCTTTTGTTTGGGGGGACTCCTCCTCCTCCTGTCCCCTGTGCCTGCCTGCCCCTGCCCGCAGCTCACACCCGACACGCAGGGGCGAGGGGCAGGGAGACCCTCAGCCTACACCAAGGGAGAGCGGGACTGGGCTGGCGCCTTCCCGCAGAAAGGAGGAGGAGGAGGAGCCCAGGACAGCTACACACATCACCCACTGAGACCCCAGCCTCCATCCAGAGATGCCAACGGTTCCGGGGCAGAAACCACCAGCTCAGAGCCCCGGCGCCAGCCAGCACAGGCTGCTCAGCCCCAGGAAACCCCCACCAGGCAGCACAGCCGGAGCACAGGACCGAGCGGGAATGGACGTCGAGCATATGTGGAGCTTAAGACAACATTTAAAAATAAACCTCAGGCCCAACCTTGGGTTTGCCAAGAGAAGAACAAAATCACACGTACAACTGAGCCATTAAACTATTCCGAACTCCTTGAAGACAACCGAGAAGGATTAAGTAATATTGGTTTTTATTGGAACTTACTGTTCCAACAGATTAAAAAAAACCACTATTTATGCTGTAGAAATGAACAATTAAATAAAAAACAAAATACGTAGCAACATAGAGATCTATGAAGTTTGCATTACAAGAAGAAAACGTTTAATCTACTGTGGATAGCACTGCGTTTTTAAACCAGTGATCTTCTGCACAGACAAAGGATTGCACATCCTGAGCCCCTCTTCGAAAGCACCCCTGATGTAACTATCTGTCTCTATCTCTCTTTCTCCATACGTGGGCCTTGAGAGAAGAAAGTATTATTCGAATTAATCACTCGGAATTCTAAGTAACAGAATAAAAGGATTCAATACTATAAATCTATAACGAGAGTATAAAACAGGGAGTTATATGTCACATGCTAATTTCAATATATTGTTAAAAACCATTTGATCCTTCAGTGTGATTATAAATTAGAGAAATAATAGGAATTTAAAGATTAAAGTTATTCACACTAGCATAGCTAAAAGTATTATTAAAATCCATCCCGATATAATGAATTTGTTTTTGAAGAAAGCCTTTTTACAGAGCTGATGCCTCCTCTTCCCACGTTTTTAAGGTAAGAGAAATTGGTTTTACTTATTGAAAAGGAAACGTTAGGATTTGTAACAAAATATGGGACATTCCTTTACCTTTTTGGAGGAGCCTTAACAAGCCTTTGGGTGAGCCAGTGGGCCCGGGAGTCTGATACCACCCACAGCCCTGACCCTCCCTCACCAAGGAAACCGTTAACGCAGCAGAAGTGCAACTGCTAAAAAAAACAAGGGGGGTTTGTTTTCCTTCTTTCTTTTTCCTCTGGCTTTCCTACATACAGGATTTATTTTTTAAGGGGAATTAAGCTGACATCAGGTAAGCCTACCCCTGCCTTTGCCCAGGTGCAAACGCTGACCAGGGACAGGCGTAGTAGCACGCGGGAGGCTGCGAGCACCGCTCACGTCCTGGGCATGGCTGGAGATACCAGCCGGAACGGGGGACCTCTGGTTTCAACCACATTTGCATCTGAATGAGTCAACAGCATTTAATCAAGGAAATTAATGCGACTCTTTGGCATGCTCAGTTAGTCACGTGTTTAAATCCGAGGATGGCCGAATCGTCAGTAACGCTTAGTCCTAATAATGGAAAATCCAGGAAAAATTGACAACCAGATGCGACAGTCGATGCCAAGGTTACGACTGACGTACACATCGCAACACCAGAACGTGGACAAACGAGCCAAGAACTGTAACTAATAACCGAAAAGACCAGATTATTCCATTAGCCACCACTACAAGTACAGACTGGTTTTGTAAGCTCGTAATCCAATAAACACACGCATTTATAAAATAAACACATTCTAGGGACCTGATCTTACAGCTACCAGGAGCAAGATGGTAACTCTCCTTGGTCTGCCTTTCCCAGTGCATCTTTGTTCCTTGCCCTACACTGTGCTGTTGCTTTGCATTTGTTGTTTTTTTAAATAAACTTTTCTTCGTTCTTCCCCATCTCTAAATCTCCTCCACCTCCTCAGACTATCTTCACCACCTTGCTTGCCCGCACTCCCTCCGTTACCAATAGCCTTGTTCTCTTACAAACACTCACGTGAACATCAAGACACGGGCGACTTAAACCAGGGGTCACTCTTACACCCATGAGGAGTCCAACTCTGAGCAAGGGGAGCAACACCACCAGCAGCAGTACAGGGAAACGGCTCAAGATCATCACTATCATACTCAAGATCTTTAAAAAAGGGCTGTAAAACTGATTGCCATAAGATATTAGAGAGGCTGAAACCTGAGATTTGGAAGCCAATTAGACTTTCTGTTAGTAATGAGAACACTGACTGTCACTGTAGGTCAGAAACATCACTATGGCCCAATAAACACGTGGGCCAAGGCTTAGGCTGATCAATCACCAAGTCAACGGGGTCTGGAGGAAACCTCCGCTGTGTTTATTGCAAACGGATGGTATTTGTTCTGAACCAGCATTAGAAATCCAAACCATCAGGTACCTGTCTACAGGACAGAGCGAATCCATATCCTCAGGCTGGTCCTGCAAAATATTAATTGTGTAGGAAGTCCCACAGAGCTCAATTACTTATCTGTGCAAAGCTTATTAGGCAAGGATTTGTAGGTGGTGGGACTGAATAAAAGGCATCCAATTATTAGTCTCAGTGGCCAAGAGTCAAAGACCTAGCCACGCTGGATTCAACTAGTAATAACTTGGGGGTTTTATACGGTGCTTGTAGTCTCTTCTTTAGGAGGAATCATTCAGACCCAGACTACAGACACTACTGGAAGCATAATGACTTTTTTCTCCTGACTAAAAATTGCATTCCAACTGTAAATGCTGAGGAGACCCAGAAGATAAAGTACAATTGCCTATATTCAAAAAGGCAGCATCAAACTTTATTAATAGGTCCTGTATAAAATTCAATGGAAAATCTATTCAGGGCCAGGGGCCTCACCATTTGGAGTTTCCTTAATAGCCTCCAATAAATCTGGGAAGCATAAAGGGGCTGTTAAATTAACATTTTCCTGATCTGTCACCTGTGGCATAGTTAATTTGTCAAAAATTCTTTTAGCTTGTCACTGGACACTGTATATTCTGACAAATGAAGTCTGGAATAAAATTGACAAAATATCTCGTTAATTTTCTAGGAAATCACAAATCTGATTCCATTAAGCTTTTATTGTTAGAAATGTTATATTCCACCAATCCTTTAAGGAAGTGAGGAGTAACTGGATACACAGAAAACATAAAATAAATCACAGAAAATTTCCTTAATATTTTTATTAATGGATTCTTTTAAGGCTACCTAGTGCTCTCCTAGAGTCTGGTCTTAAGAAAATTTCCGTTTGCTATTTCCAGAGCGTTTCCATCCCACTCAAAGCAAAGATGATGCTTCATCATCTGCAATTCACTGGAGGAGACGCGGTGCCGTGCAGCGTACACGGGCCCGAAGAGGCAAAAACCCAGGGACACCGTTTCCCAAATTATTGCTGATGTGGTGTGCACACAAACAAATCACTTAATTCCTTTACGGTTCTGTTTTCTCTGTCACCGTTGTCAGAATTCTCGGCGGTTGGCACGTGGTGGATCTTTGGCACGCTGAAGCTATTCTTTCTGCTGCTATTCGGGAGCTGCACGGAATGATGTCCGTTATTTGAAACTGCTGAAAAGTACCATCTGCTGGATTCACAAACTTTCTGCTTTCTATTGTTTAGCATTTAAATGGAGCAGATCGATGTATATTTATGCACTTCGATAATAAGCAGTGGCTAAACTCGGGAAAGTTATTCCCATTAATAAACAAATTTATTCTGAAAGAGTAACTTGGTGTCTAAGATTACTGCTCCTGTGAATCCGTGTTTCTCGTGTGGTCTAAAATACAGCCGGGCACGAAACAGCACAGGAATCTTTGGGGATACGTGATAACGGTGGTCGGGCTAATTACAAGACGAGAAGTAGCAGCACCAGCACGTACATATGGTGCTGGTACTTCTACACACAGGAGTGCAAGAGAAAGACACGACAGCCTACTCGACTGATGAATTTTCACGGATTTTCTAGGGTTGTATTTGTGAGCTGTGGTGTTTTAAGTATATAAACATTGGCTACTACAACTATGGCGGGAAAACCGCATGCAGAATGATCTTCGCTGGCGACATACAAGTTTAGAAATATCTGTATGTTAAATAATATGCTGTAATAGAACTGATATGCTTAAAACACCGTATGTTAAAGACAGAAAAAATGTATTCAAACTCTACCAACCCTTTCAACACAAGAAGCCTCTCTAAGATTTAAAATCAAGTTTTGATCAAAGTCCATGAGAAGATACACACCTCCCTGCAATAGACGGCGTCTGTCTTGAACAGATTATTGGGGGGGGGAACGGACTAATATTCTTCTAAA